TTAAGTCCCAAGATTTAAGCCTCGTTCACTACTGCAGCATATCCTTGCCTATCCTGACTGCTACATCAATCTAACACGTGCGTCATCTCATTTACCGAATCCCAAACATCCGATTGTCTCATTTAATTCAGATAATGGGCATAAAAATTAAACTGTGAATCTTTTTTTGGTTTGGATTTTTTTAAAATCCAAAAATGGCTGAGAAATACACAAATAAAATGTAAATTAAATAAAAGAGTACTGAAAATAAGATAAAATATCCGGTAATAAATCTATGGTAGCTGCATGCTGGTGAGAGAGAACAGGGCTTCTTGGAGAAGGTGGGACAGTAGCACTGAGACTAGTCCAAAGAAAGGACGATCCAGCAAGCCTCTCTGCCTTGGGTAGGCGCAGCTAAAGGAGAATATAACCACAGTGCTCCAAACTGGCTCTTCTTTCTGATTATCATCCAATTCAACCGAAACCCAGCCCCTTACACAGAGGAGACTGAAGCCAGTTAGGACGGCTGAGCTGAGCTAGAACTCTTTCCTCTCGCCTCTCAGACCAGAGCCCTTTGCACTCTTCTGTACTTGTTAGTTCTTTAAGAATCAAAAGATAGAATTTCATATCAGCCTACACTAGTACCTCCTTATCCTAAAGTCTGATCATATGTCTGTTTTTACCAGTGAAGAGAAAATCATTTTTACACTAGCATTTATTTCCAAAAAATAATGTTCATACAATCTTACTCACCTTGTGCATTGCACATTCTTTTCATCCTTGGTGTGTGGGAACTTCTGGGGCACCTCTAAGAACAAAATGCCTGTTTCTGGGCTTCAAAGTCTCCCACCTTTTTTCCTTTACCTGGTAGCCTCTGGCACCACGCCAGCCAGTCTCACTGCTGTCCTGTGCTTGGCCCTCCCTACAGTTCTTTCATTCAGGCCACCCCTCCTGCCTGGAACAGTCCCCTACCTTAATGTTCTCACAACTTGCTGACACTTCTAAACCCACCACAAATGCAGCTTTTCTTGAATAATTGCCCAACCTGAAAATCCACCCACTGCATCATTACAAGGAACTCAACTGACTCTGTATGTATATAAATTGTCTATGTGATTGTGTCATCTATTTATCGGTCAGGTGATTTACTTATCAGTATTTTGTTCTCACTACTAGATGCATGCCTTGTCATGTCTGTGGAAAGAATGGTGAGAAGGAAAAAAATACAACGTGGGTTTTATAACACATTGTCTTATTACCTAGGCTGCCGTATGTGGGCAGATGCATTCTTCTGCGGTATGAGGAACTGATTTTAGTTTGCCCTGATAACATACTCTATAAAGTTTGATTGGTGAACACTAGTGTCATAAATAGTTTTGTAAATCAGTCACTCCAGGAAGTTCATGGTATACAAATATTAACAATTACTAGGGATTTTTCTTTGAAGAACATAAAATTATAAGTGTTACTGCCGGGGGGGGAAACTTTAAAATTTTTTATTTCACTCTGAACAAATACAGCATCTTCTCAAATAAGAAAGAATAAACTTTACAATTTCAAGCTTTACTTGAATATCCTTTGCTTGGAAAATTAGAATAGTCCCAACTTGTAATTTACTTTACATCACAGTTTATAAATCAAGTAGAATGTTAATTCATTCTTGGAACGGCAAATACCCTGTCTTAAGTAATTGATGGAAAAACAAAATGCCATGCCAGAATCATCAGAAAATGTATAATTGATCTATAAAGATGTTGCATTCCTAACTAGCATGACATGCCAAAAATGAGGGCTTACTTTGGAAAATTGCAAAATCCAATACATTGGGTACTGACCGTGTTCATTACATTTTTAAAACCATCTGTTGGCAATTATGTGTCAAAACGGGCTTGTCAGATCTTTGCAAGAGAAGAAATTTTTGTCAAAGTCACACCATCTAAGTTACTTTCAGTTTTAACTGTGAACACATGGTGGATTTTAAAAGAATTGTTTCATGCCCACAGGTAAGTGGAAGAGAGAATTGGGTAATGGTTCTGTTCATCTGCTCAAATGTAGCAATGACTCTGAATCAAGAGTATCAAGCAAATAGGTTGTCCTCACTCACTATGTACATTGGCTAACAACCAGTGTTGTGATCACCAAATAATTTGGATATTGGAATCCTGATGCTTCTTATCTTCTTTAGAAGCCACCAGTTTCTGGTTAGCCCAAATGCCACTCATACAGCATCCTAAGGCTCAGGCTGTTGAGTTCCTTCTGGGGGCCTGAAGTCCAACCAGGCTCATGAGATATAAAGAGAGATGCCCACACCTCAGAACCAAGGCTATATTAATCCCTCCATGACCCTGAGAATAACCAGAATAAAATGAAGTTTTCGTTAGTGGTAATAGAGACAGCCCACTGCTCTCCTCTAAAAAAAAAACTTTTAATTTAGCACTGAAGATTGAGTGGCTCCTTCAGTATTCTTCTCTTGAAATAAAATAATCCCAAGTCTTCTGACTGCAAAGTTGTATTTTCTCGCCCTTCTTTAGGTTTGTTGTTGTAATCTAAACCCCTCCATCTCGAGTCTCTGGTTGTGAAATATACCAAACAGTGCTTGGAGAAAAGGTGGGCCACACCTGAGTGTGGACCCCTTTCCTGACCCTTGCTAGTAATGCAACCTTGGGCAAGTCATGTAACCTCTCTCTGGCCTCCAGTTTACTCCTCTAGACTGTGAAGATTGAATGAGATGATTCTGTTACAGAAAGCATGTAGCACCCTATCTGAAACACGGCTCCCCAAAATATTATTTTCCCTCTTTCCCCAAATCATTGCTGTAGTGAAAAGTCAGTTGTCTATAACTGTGCTGTCTAATATGGCAATCATCAACCACAAGTGGCTATGTATATTTAAATCAATTAAAAATTCAGCTCTTCAGTTGCACTAACCACATTCCAAACAGTCAGTAGCCCATGTAACTAGTGGCTGCCATACAGACAATGCAAATATAGAAACATTTTCATTAGAAAATTCTACTGGATAGTGCTGGTTACCTTATCCACTTGGATTGTGAGGCTTTTCAAACACACCCATGTCAGTCTCTAACTAGTCATGTGAAATCTTTCCTCGGTGACAGGAATAAATGTTAACTACTCTATTTTCTATCACATCTCTTTTAGAAAGAACTTGTCTCCAGTTCTGCATCTCAAAGGATTCATTCTCACTGGTTCCAGCTAGAAAGGCTCCCTTCTTAACCTCACAAATTCAGAAAACTATCACAGCCCATCACAGCCCAGACCTGCATTCTAGAGCCGTTGGCACTGCAGGTACCCCCTTGCTGTTTGCCTTGCTATTGAGAGTCTGGTGGGGTGTGGGTGTCATGCTCCAAGCCCTGGGTCTTGTTCCCATCTCTGGGGACTTGCTGCAGACAGTGTGAGCATCAGGTAGCTTATGGGCCCAATGTTGAGGACAATGAATTCCTCCATGAGTCCTAGGCACCTTCAAGGAAGAGATGAGGAAGCCAAATGTTCTAGGAAAACAGCTCACTCTGTCAAGCAGGGTTTCTGTTCTTTCCATGACCAGCAAAGTGCCTTCCTCCAGGGGTTTTAGGACAGATGTTACAGGCCTGGAGACACAGCATGGAAAATATGCAGGTCTCCAGGGCTTAACTGAAACAAAAGCTCAAGTCACCTTAGAGCATGCGAGATGCAGACCCAAGGAACCAGGTGAGCGGCACTTTCTCCACAGATGTTCCTGGGTCCAAGTCTCAGAGAAAAAGGATCATCTCAGTCACCGCTGAGCTTTTGTTAATCAGGTTTCAGTAGTCGAGGGTTGATATCTATAGTCTCCCAATCCCACCTACCTTTGCTTTCACCTGCCAAGGAGAATAGAAAAGGGGTATAGATTCACATTTTCTGACTTGCTAATAGCTCTGATAAAAGGTTGGGTTAAGAAGGCTAAAAGTAAATAGCTAAGATTTTATTTAATGGCCCAGCAGGTTTTAGTCCCTGACATCCCCTCTCATCATTTGTGAAAAGAAATCCACAGCTGACTGCATTATTTTCAAGATTATATCTAATTTTTTAGGTTAATAAAAGCAATCACTCACATAGCTATTACTGTGTGCTTTACATATGTATAGATATTAGCACATGCAAACCATTAGGAGGCACCACAAAAGTGCAGAGCAGTCCAGTAACACACTGGGGAAGCTGCTCTTCAAACCCTGCAGTCTGGCTCCGAGTCCACGCGGCCAGCTGCTGTTACTACCAGCAAGAGATGATAGCAAAGAATCAAAGGCTTGCAGTTAGAGTAAGCTCCTCCCACCCCCAGCTCCCTCTTCAGAGGCAACCACTGTTCCCGGTTTCTGATTGTCCCTCCAGACGGTCTGTGCAAACATCAGCATGTAGAAAGGGAGTTGTGTTACAGCGTGTGGTCTCACTCATGTATAAATAGTTGTTTTTACCGGTTTTCTAATAATTGATATCATCTGTGCTTTCCAAGGCCCATGGGGGTGCTTGCACTGGAGAGACCAGGGGTGACGGGAACTGAGAAAACTAAGTTATCAATAGAGTACTCAGGCCTTTACAAAATATTCCATCCACCCCACTGATTCCATCATCTCTGGATGGGACTCTGAGCCCTGGTCCAGGTTCAAGTCTCTAAGGGATTCCAGCCGGGTCCCCGACTGGGCTGGGGGCGCGGCGCAGGGTGGCTGCGGGCAAGCTACGCTCCCTCGGGGGGAGGAGTCTCCACTGCTCCCCTCGTCCCTCTGCCAGCGCGGCCTGGGCCAGACACCCCCGGCCCCGCGCCACGGAGGCGCCGCCGCGTCCGGGCCTCGAGCCGGGGCAGCTGGGGCCCAGGCGGAGTGGGGCGGGGCGGAGGGGACCCGGGGCTGGAGGAAGCGCTGAGAGGGCGCGGCCGAGCGGGGACCTGGGCTCCCGGCAGCGGGCCGCCCCGGGGGCGGGGGGGAGTGGCCCTCCGCGGCCTTATTTCCTCGAGCGCCGGCGCACTCCGCCGGGAGCCCGGACCGTCGAATGCCGCGCCTGCCTGCCCGCCCGCCCGCGTCCATGCCGCCCAGCCGGCAACCGCCGCCCGCCTCTGGGCCCCGGGGCCCGCGCCTCGCCGTCCTGCTGCTTGCGCCGCTGCTGTTGCTGGCCCTCCAAGGGGTGGCGGCGGCACCCGCGGGGGCCGGGGGACCCGAGGACACCCCTGGGCTCCAGGACGCCGAGCTCCAGCGCGGACTCCTGCAGCAGGCGGCGCGCGCGGCGCTGCACTTCTTCAACTTCCGTGCGGGCTCGCCGAGCGCCCTGCGAGTGCTGGCCGCCGTGCTGGAGGGCCGCGCCAGGGTGAGTGCCCGAGTGACACGGCCGCGCGCCGCGTGCGCAGCGACACCTGTGTGCACGCGCGCCCGTCCGCCCCGCGGCCGATCCGAGACGGGGTCTGTGAGGAGTAAGACGTTGGGGGAGATCCGGCTAGTGCCTCGGCGCCTCCGAAGTGGTCAGGCAGTGCAGCGGCCCATGGTTGCGCAGAGTACACAGGAAGCTGGCTGGCTCTTTCGGCGGTTACGAGGCGGTAGATTTTTCACAGAGCAGCTCCCATTCCTGGGAGAGAGGTGCATGGGGAAACTGAGGAACAGGCTCCAAAGGCGAGGCTTGATCTTGTCTGGCAGTATCCAGAGGTGCTTGCCAAAGGGGTGGTTACTGCGCGACCAACCATGGCTCCGGCAGGAGTCGTGGGCGGGATTTCTTAAAATCTGCGCCCGTTCCCCTGCGGACCATAGACGGACTGTCTCAACCGCAGGCGACCCTGCAAGGGCTTCTGGATGAAGTGGTTGGAATTGGTGCGTTGGCCGAGGGGGCAGGAACCTTCCTAATACTGGCGTCTGCTTTAATGGGAGTGGACCAGGGCTGTTTTCCATGTGAATGGAATGAATGAGAATTTGGCAGCTCCTGATTTGGTTGCTGATTTCCAGGCACTGGCTGTTGGAACCTTACTTCTTTGTGTCTGCGGAGCTACATTGCTTGCTTCATCAAACAGAAGATTGCAAAGTTACAGAACTCCACTCAGTCTGTCCCCAAAGTAGCGACACTCTTTCCCAGTAACCCCCGAATATTCCACAAAGCCTGCAGACTCAGCCTCACAAAATCTGGAATTGAGTGTAGAGTTTTAAAGAGGGGCAGTAGGATTTTTGTTTAAGACTGTTCTAGTTTTGGTGTCAGATACAGGGGTGGGGAAGGCCTTTTGGAAACACAGACTTTGTTCCTCAAAGACTTAGTCCTGTAGCTAAGGTGGCTAAATTTATTGACTGATGAAATCAAATTTTTCCTAGAAAAAGGCAACCTACTCTTCTCACCTTTTTAAACAATCCTTGCTGCCTCAGGGAGAAAAGTTCAGTTTTACCAGTTCAGTAGAGAAGTGCAGAAACAGCTTGAGAACTTTCTGTCAAAGTAGGAGAGTAGCCACCTCCCAGAGCCCAAAGAGAGTCTCCATGAAGATTTGCTCCCCGGTTATCATAGAGGAGCATTCCCTACAGAAAACTCAGTTTTCAAGTTCCAGGAATTCTTTTCTTCCTTCCAAGACCAAGAGCTCAGTGTTTTTCATCTGTAATAGTATAATATTCCTGAATTTTAAAGGAATTCTTTTGACCAAAAAAAAAAAACCAAAAACAAAATGGGGTGGGGCAATAAATCAATCAGTTAGAGGCAGATACGCATGTGGGGAGTGGTGGGGGGGGAGGGTGGTAGTTAATAAGTAGGGGAATGCAGGGTATTGACCCTAAGAAAGGATAACCTGTTGTCATTTGCTTTACCTTCACATTTCTTCTGAAAATAGTTATAAATGTTTTTAAATCAAGGAGCCAGGAAAAAGAGCTCAGTGACTTTCAGGACCAAGAGTCTCTAGAGACTAAAGTGGTTTCAGTTTTTCCCAGGAATTCAGTGAAATTTTTTCTCCATTCCTCTACCACCTTCAAACATCACCACTAAATGGGGGCCCACCTTCAAGGGTGATCAAGGCAGCCTAGGGCAAGGTGTATCTTAATTTGTGGCCGTGGCCTGCCAGGATCCTTGGGGCTGGGAGAAGCCTAGCGGGGGGGGGGGGGGGGCTTGAGAGTGGGGTGCTGTCTCCTACTGGGGAGCTGCCATGGGCTGCTTGGTGTGGTGTTGTAGGGAACCCAGATTCTAGCCCCTGCTTTGCCTCCAGTGAGCCACACAACCTAGAGAAGAAAGATCATGTCTTTTCTGATTATTTCCTCATTTGGAGTGGAAATAATCCATGTTCTGCCAACCATGTTAAGAGTTCTATAAGAGGATATAAATACCAGTTGTAAAATATAAAAAATGTGAGCTACCATTATACTGTCTGAGGGGTGATCCATTTATCCATGAGTTATTTCTTGAGCACTTACTATGTGCCTGGCACTGGGCTAGATATTATGGCCCTAATTCAGATTGGGATGGGATCATCGGGAAAGCCTCTTTGATAGTCATTCAGTTTTGAAGCAGTTTCTTGGCTACCTGAATGAGGAGCGCAGACATCACCCGCGTGGAGCTTTCAGTGTAGTGGCTTAAGGAATTTCTGCTGTACTTACAAGAACATAGTATTGACAAGAAGTGAAAAATGGTACAGCCCCCAAAATGGGCCTGCATTCTTTATCAAATTGGTGCATTTCCAGGGTGGGTGCTCAGTTGCTACACAATGTCTGTCACTCATCCAGGACTGCCCCTAGGGTGAGCAAGTGGGTGGGTGGGTGTGAAAAGTGTAGCTCATAGGGAGCCCTCTTCACCCTAAGGGCCCATGCACCTCTTTGTAAGATGAGAGGCTGGAGCCAAGTCAGGGGTTTTCAAAGTAATGGCCCACTAGTGCGGTAGGAAATCAAGTTAGTAGGTTGCAGATGTCTTGTGGTTTGTTGGTTAATTTTTAACAAAATTGGTTGGAGTACGAACTATAAGTGTTTCAAAAGTAAGAGTAAATAGTACCTAAAATGTGTTTCAAATATATATTTATGAACCAGTTCACTATGAAAAATGCAGTTCTTGCTGTGGGTTTCAGCTAAAAAGATTTTGAAAACCAATGAACCAAGTGTTTTAAGACCTCTTCCAGCCCTGATTGATTTGATTTCCTAGTTGTGCAAGAATCTCTCATTTTAGAAACACTTTTGCCCTCTTGTGGTGAAATCCAGTAATAGCTGTGGTAGTAAATGTAGCCAAGTTTTGGGAAGAAATCCGGGCTAGCTGCTGAAAGAGCCACGTGAGCGGTCTGTTTCGTTTTGTGTACTATATCATAGGGGGAGATCGCAGGCCACAGCTTGTGTTCCCTCACTCTCCTACCTGGTGCCATCTTTTTTCCTGGCTTTCCCCCTCCACATAGCACGTGGCACAGCCTCATGACCCGCAGTGCAGGGTGGTGGGAGATGTTGGGTGGTGTTGGTACCCAGAGTATCCTGGATCAGCCCCACTCTCAATTCCTTCTTCCCTTAAGAGGCTGCCCCTTACACTGAGACGAGTCTTAGCAAGCCCCGAGACCACTGCCCCTAGCAGATGATGAGAGGCCAGCCCCTCCCCTGACATTTAGATATCTTTGCGTGCACGTACTTCATGAGAAAGGCAACCCACTCAGGAATCAGCCGTTGCTTGGGGATTGGTCACTTGAGGTGAGTGCCCGCTGCACTTCTTGGCTCCTGTGTTTGGGGGAGGGAGGTTATATATCCGTACCTCAAAATGCTTCGATTTAAATTAAAATCAATAAATGTAAATATATCACCTGTTTTTGGGTATAGGGCCAAGGCCATTTCATTGTCACCCCTTGCAGTTTTCTGGCAAGAAAAGTCAGCCGTTATGGATCATCTGTGATTTCCATTTTGGTTTACTTACAGTGTTGGGAGCACTTGCAAAGAATACAGCACAGTCCTCTGCTTTTACCCTTTTCTTTCTTGCTCAGTCTTGACTCATCCACACCCAATTCAACAGCGAGAGTTTTAGAGACTTAATCAATTTCTTCTACAAACTTAACTTGGATTTTGTGGACATGATACCATGATACTTTTTATTTTTGGTGCTTCCACTCTTCACAGTTTATGTGACGGTTAGTTTGCAATTAGGCAATAGGTACCCCTGGCAGGAGCGAGTTTGGGAGCAAAACAGTGGACTTCTGGCAAGCATCAGGCCACTGTCAGGGCAGACAGGCTGGGCTACTGAGGGCACTCGCCCACATGTCTGACAGCGGAACGGAGCCTGTCTGCTGAGCCACAAGCATTTAAGAGAGCACTTACTCTACTAAGAAAAACCTTCTTCCTCAATCACTTTCCAATCTTTACTTTCACTCAGGGAAGCCTCCTAGCTGCTTTTACAGGCATCACAGAACGGGCGTGGGATTTGCAAGATGAACACGGTGTTTCTCCATGTGCCCTCACACTGCCCTGGGGATGGAACCTAACAATCCTGAGAGTGCAAAACAGATACACTCTCCTTCCTTCCCAGGCATTGCTCGTGCTGTAAAGGCACAGGTGCACCCAAGGTCTCTGCCCCGCCTCCCACCACAGCACCCGTCTGGTCTGCACGCTCTGACTGCAGGGTCTGGGTCGAGCACAGGATGGGAACAGGCCACCTGGCCCTGACGATAAACTTAGGCCTTGGCCTCCTTGGCACCTAGCCCCAGTCACCCAAACCAGCTGCCCCCGGATGAGCTCGTAAGTAGGAATGCTTCTGACCTCCTTGTAATAAATTGTTTTGAACCACAACCATTTTTTTTTCCCCAGCCCACAACACTTTTCCACTTGTCTTGCCACATGTGGTGTTCTAGCCAGGGATGCGTGTGATCACAGATTATGAGCAGTGGCCCCATATAAAGCTCACTGGTGGCGGTGGGTCATGAATCTAACCACCAGGAGTCTGGCTTAGTTGCACACTCTAACTCGAACAGCCTAGGTGGTTCTGCTAGAGATAGAATATGAATACTCAACCCTACAATGACTGATTAATGAGGCATGGAAATGTTAAATACACACGCTATCTCCCAAATCCAACCTGACCTTAGTCCTCCTTGTATGGACAATGAGTCACCCTAGAGATTTTCCTTGCATGTGCAAACTTGCTACTTATTTGCCTTTGCGGTAGTGCCTCAGCTGGAGAGGTTTTTACAGGGCTGGTCCGCAGGAGACGTTGGGGATAGTAACCATAGCAAGTGTCCACTCTAGGTTACTTCTTATGCTTGTTCAGCACGTCTCTACCCAGTAAAGTCGAGTTATCAAAGGGGGTCTTGTACCGTAACTGTGAGCAAGATGGATGTAAACCCACAATGGTCCCCAAAGGACCTGCAGAGTACAATGTTAAGAATCACTAACATCTGT